AGACAGAGACAGAGACAGAGACAGAGACAGAGACAGAATTAAAATGTGTATACACAAAAGGTCTTTACCAGAATTATTTACATTATTCCTTACAATTCAATTATAGTTTCTTTTGTTTTTAGTGTACACTTTTGTATTTTATCAGAAAAGGTAAAACAAAATTGACTGTAGAAATTTGCCCATTTCCTTTACCCTGAGCACCTACTTTAAAGATAAAATATAATAGACTAGCTGTTGTTATTCTCCTGTTACCTTGTTGTCTTGTTTCCTTCTGATTTGGGGTTTTCTTGGTGCTGAGGATTGAACTCAAGGCCTTACATGTGCTAAGTTCTCCCTCCACCATCAAATTCTGGAGCTACATGTGCAGTCCAATTATAATTTCCTGGCAGTGGCTAGAAATAACCCAGCTATACTTCACCATGAGAATGGGCACATGAGCACTGGTATATTATTTAATGGAATACTAAGCAATGAAAATATTTAAACCACTGATTCATAAAACTCAAGATTATTCCAAGTGAACGAAGCTCAACACAAAAATTGCATCTTGTAGAATTCCATTAGAATTGTACTCTAGAAGAGTGAAAAGGAGTCTGCGCCCACAGACCTGCCTCAGGTGTAGATGAGGTGGGTGTAGCTCGGAAATGTAGCACTGGGAAGGAGTAGAAGGAAACTTTCTGACAGAGCTTCTTCGTCTTCAGAATTGATTGAAAAGTAGGTTCAGATCTAAGGAATTCATTGAATGTTGGTTTAACTCAGGAATTAACACAATGAGTGACCCTGAATAGGTGTGCATTTCAACATGACATCTCCCCATGTTTTACAAGAGATGTGGGAGGGCTGATAGTGACTTAGGCAGAGAAACAGGCCTGGCACATGTGCGTTTGTGTATATGGGACCAGAGTGAGCACCTACTATGGACTAGAACCCTGGGGGCAGTGGCGGCACCTCAGTAACCGTCACATGAAACTACTGAGGTGGGCAGATTTGAGAAAGAGCTAATCTTATCATTTTTATTACCCTCAATTCCAAATCTCCATAAAAGGAACAAAGCCATTTTAGCTAAAGACCAGCACATTAAATATGCTGTGCTTTTAGTAGTTCAATCTCCCTTGTCCCTCAAAAATTCTTCAATCATTTGCTGCAGCCTGTTTCTATAAAACAAAAAGAAACAATTCTTTTAGTTCACAACTCAAAATAAAGAGCTTAAAATGCAAATCCATGACTAAGATAATGCTGTAAGATAAATGGATTTTATTCTTGTATAATCAGTATATGAATACAAATAATTAAGCACTGATCCTTCCTGTCCCTGGTAATGTAGAAAGACAAAAAGGAAACAATCCAATTCAACACACACTTACAGAGCCCACTGCACCTAATTACTGCTTTTCAAGCTTTTGTGACAGGAACCTTTAGTAAGAATTGCAATTTATATCACAACCCTGTATGTACATACATATCTATTTTTTTAAAAAAGCTCTATTCTTGCTAAATAAGTTGCGTACTGACATTCACTGGTTAAGTCTAGCCTGATCTATGTCTGTGAAATTGTAGATCATGCCCTAAGGCTGGGTGGCTGTTGTGGGTGACAGGGCACAGCACTGTCCTCCGTGCGTAGCTGGATCATAGCCCACCGGTGGCAGCAGAAGCCCTGGGCCCCGCCTCACAGCCGCTAAATCACACTCCATGTCGTAGCAAGGCCTCTGACTCGGTCCTGTGCACATTACCGTGTCGGAAACCCTGTTCCAGGCCATGGACAAAGCAGAACGTGGACAGAATCTTCTTGAGATTGTTCTAGATGGAGATCCTTGCTCAGGGATAGCCTGGGTTTGGTTTTTGTTTGATTTTGTGGTTTTATTTTAGTTTTGCTTATCCAGGGCCAGTGGTATAAATTCCTGCTTGGCAAGTGCAAGGTTCTGAGTTTGATTCTTAATACAAAAAAAAAAAAAAAAAAACCACATAGATATGCTTATCCAGCACCCAAAGAAAACCACAGGTTCAGTATCTCTAAAGATATTAAAGGGTATTAGCATTTTTATTTAAAAAAAAAAAACCCTCAAATAAATGAACAAAATCTACCCGAGTGTTTGAGCTTGATCCCGTTTCAGAACCATTGGTCTATGGGCATAAATCAGGGTTGTGCATTACTGCGATTGTTCATTACAGAAGTGAAAACCCACACTTCAGGTACAGGGAGAACTTTTATTTTTCATTACGGATGACTTCGTATAAAAGCATTTTATTCCCAGAATATTTATTGATGGGGTTATGGCTACTGCTTCTTCTGAATTTACTTCTCCTTGTGGGAAAATTTCCAAACATTTCCTTTCTCCCTGTAACTGCCCTTTCATAGAAGTGTACTGTGAGTTCAAGTCGAAATATTAGCGCCAGGCCTGCTGAGCGGCGCAATTCCTCCCTGGATTACTTCCAGTGGATCCCTAACCCAGGATCCCTGGCTGAGAGCGCCCGCCCGAGAGGCTCTCGCTGCTTATTACGGCCCCTCCCACCACCGTGGCGTCTGTTTCCTGAGTGATGGAAGCTTTACCCTGGAGTCCCCGGTCTTGCTGACACTAAGAGGCTCTCTGGCATTAGCAGCTTCTGCGTTGCATTAATAATAAGAAAGTAATAAAGACGGCAGCCTCAGCTGTTGCGGGTCCCCTGAGGTGAGCCCTGGCCGCCTCTGCTCCCGCCTCCAGCCTAGTGGCCCTGCCTGGAGGGAAGGAGTAGAGGGGAGGGATGCAAGGGCCGCGACCCACAGATGGTGACAGGCCTCCTTCACTTGGGAGGGGACCGCGTCCTTGCCGGCCCCCAGCTTGAAAGCTGTACCAGCAGCACTTTCCCAATCAGAACCGACCTCTGTCATTTGCGGCTCATGCACAGAGGAAGACGTGGAAGCACGGAAGGGACAGCGCAGCGGCGTGGAAGTGCAGGTGGTCCAGCAGAGGAACAGCTTGTTCTTTTAGAAAACATGGTGAAATAAATAAAAGATAATTGAAAAATGAATAAATACATGAATCTACCTAAGAAAGAACTCTAAAGACATTGTGTCCTGTATTTTTGTTTTTTGTTTTTTTCTCTTTCTTTTAAAAAGAAAACAAAACTTTTGGAAGACCATTCAGGTATCTACGTAGCAATAAAATAAAATGGATGGAAAAATGATCTTTGTTGTTAATAGACAAAACAATAATGGCAAGCTACACTAAAGATTGAAGCCAACAGGTTTGTGTGCATTTTAGTAAAATTATTTTTTGTTAAAAAGTTCTTGAGGCCAGGGAGATAGCTCAGTAGAATAAGCGCTTGCCTGGCAAACGCAAGGGCCTGAGTTCAATCCCTGGTCCACACATACACACACACACACACACACAAAAAAAAAAAAATACTTGATGTTGGATCAGCCAGATAGCTCAGCAGATTAAAACACCTGCTTAAGCATACGCAGCGGCTAGGGATCGATCCCAGCCCTGCCCCGAGGGCGCGCTGAGATAGCCATTGAGACTGGGCGTGGTGGTGCGCACCTGTAATCCCAGCGCTTGGGAGGCTGAACACAGGAGGATCACTACGACTGATCTGTGTAGTGAGACGCTGTAGACCCTGCACTAAATACAAAAAAAAATTGAGGGGCAGTCATAAAGACAGGAAAGCAGCATGCTCTTTTTCTAGTGAAAATATGTGGTCTTTTGCAGAAGGGTAATGTTGGAAGGTATTTTTAAATTAAAGTGTATGGTCTGCGCATGGTACCTGATGGTTGCAATTTTTCATTTCCAAGTAAAGCTACTATTTTCAAGTACACATATATTTTTAATTGGGAAAACAGTGATCAACACTTCACAAGTGCCGCTCTTCCCTTGCGCTCCAAATGCTGCAAGTTTTTTTCTCAACTTACACCATCATGTCCTGATTTTGAGAGGTTGAGTTTATAATTGGGTTATATTTTGCCTGTTTCTGAACCTGTATTCTAGAGGAAAAGAAAGGCCCAATATCGTGACTATATTTTAAAATAAAATTACTCTTAAGTCTCTAAGGAAATAACCGTGATTAGCTCTAGGCAATATTTATTTATGTGAGATTTAAGATATCACAGTAAAAACTGCTTTTTTTCTAAAAACTTATAATTGATGTATTTTCTTTGTGAGTACTTAACAGCTTGAGAAAAAAAGTAGACATATCTAATGAAAGGCTAGCCACCTAATGTTTTAAAAATTATAACTGAAATCCTGTGAGTGAAAAAATCTATAACTTTCAATTATAGATAAGAATAAGAAAATGCTAAGTAATTTCTGTAAAATAAGCATTACATTTTTCCTGTAGGGAGGTAACACTCTAAGTCTCTTTTAATTAAATAGCTTTCATATGGTCTGTTTATTAGACAAACAAGTCTCATAAATCCAGTGAAACTTTGTTGTCTGTTGCTTCCTTTCCTTGCCGAGAGTACCGGTGCTCACTAGTAGCGATGGGTGAGGCTTACTGCTAGAGTTGACCTTATAGTGGAGAAAGACGGTAGGACTAGGACGACTCTGTGCAGCAAGCAGATCCACTGCAAACCAGCAGCGCCTTGTGACCCTGGTGTCCGATGAGATAAACCACGCGCACAAGCTTAAATACCGCATGCGTTCTCTTATGTGAGAAGCCAAAAATATAAATAAAGAGCAAAAATGAAGTTAGATGGTAGGAAATGGAGAGACTGGGCCTTTGTGAAGGGGAGGGGACGGAGAGATGGGCGAGGGGACGGAGAGATGGGGGAGGGGACGGAGAGATGGGGGAGGGGCAGCCCAGGCAGAAGCAAGCGAGGTGCCCGTATGTGTATACCAGCTGCCTGCCAGGAGGGGAACCACGGTGGGCTCCAAATGTGGGTTGATAAAAGGCAAAAATTGAAAAACAGTGCACTTGTGGAGCTGTAGCCGCCACGTGTGCTCACCTGCATTTCCTGTCTGCTCCTTTCTGTGCTGCAGTCCACGAAGGCTCTGGAGAAGCCAGTCAGAAGGAGACCTCCACCTGTGACATTTGCCAGTTCGGTGCGGAGTGCGATGAAGATGCCGAGGATGTCTGGTAGGACACTGTTTGTGGTTTACTCTTGCAAACGAGATAAAGACTGTCACTCGCTTCTTTTACCCCATCCTCCGTTCTCCTAAAGATGACACTGTGGGCACTCCTGTTCTCTTCTGAGTTCCCAAGAGGAAACCTGAGCACTGTCACAGCAGCCAGCGGGCGGCTGTCCAGGGCAGAAGCTGTCCAGGGAAATACTGCGCCGCTGAGCTGCGGCCTCCGACTCTGCCGGTGTAGACAGGGAGGGCAATGCCATATTTGCTCAAATATCTCTCGAGAAGCGTCATTGAGACGCAGGGAGTGGTGGCTGTCTAAATCTGTTCAGGCTGCTGTAATAAAATGCCATGAACCAGGTAGCTGAGAAATAGTAGAAGTACTTTCCAAGCCCCAGACTTCATCAGGTTCGGGTCTGCTGAGGTCCTACAGCCTTGACCTCCCTGTGCCCGCGCGGGCAGGAGCGTGGGGGCGCAAGGATGCTCCCTGGGGCTCCTTACCAGAGCGCTAACCTCCCTTGTGAGGGCTCAGCCTCATGACCTAATCACCTCTTGCTACTATCGTTTCGGGGGTCAGAATGTCAAGACAGGAGACAGCAGTAGTGTTCAGGCCATAGCAGTTGCTAATACAGCTCCTGAGACGAAGTTGGAGTGACTGCCGAGGATTCGTGTCGGGCAGGTGCAGTGCGTATGCACGGCTGTTTTGGCAAAAGGCTTCATAACTTGCTGCCTAGGCTCAGTGTAGCGCAGCCTCTCTGATAAAGATACGTAGGACAAATGGTGGGCAGCACTCACTCTTTTAAATGTTATTAAAACTTTTGCCTTCGGTGGAGTTCCTGTATGTAGGTCCTGTCTGATCAGGCAGGAGTGAAAACTCCAAAGGCCAGAATGGTGTTTTTGTGGCATAATAGTGGAAAATAATAGTCTGTGCTACTTTCCTGCCCTCTGTACTCCTCCCTCTTTCTTCTCTGTCCCTCTCCCTCTGTCCTCCCCTTCTCTCTTCCATACTCATCTGTCATGAAAGTAACTGGTTTCTCTTTATTTTCTTCAATATCTAAAGCAGTTAACAATCATATGATCAAACTTGCATGGCAAGAACAAAGAAAACACACATTCAGTGTATGCTGAAAGGAAATGAAGGTAGACTCCAGCCTAGCGAAATGCGGTGCTTCCACGTAAAACTGTCACTGGAGAGCCAGCTGGATCAGCCATCTGTTGATAAGAGCAGGTGCAGTAGACTGTCTCTGCCTGTCAAACACTTGGCGGATGGGCAGCAGAAGCCAAGGTGGCTGGGCGTCTCGGGGTGAAGAGATGTATACGTAATGATGTCTTGAGCATCTAAGAACCTTGAATGAGTGGAGGAAGATTCTCAGAACTACTTTGAGAATTTAAAAAAATAGAATACTTTTTTGGTCTACCCCAAATTTAATGCCTCAGAATTGGGGGTGGTCCTTAAAATTTCACTTCTCTAAAATTCAACAAATGATTATAGAAATACTGATCTTAGGTAGAGGACTGCCTCAATCTGCATCTATAATTTGAGTCTTTTTTAAGCTGTTAATGTGCTTGCTGTAACTTATTTTACTTAAAACATTCGCATGGGTCTCTCACTGTTGTAAAGATGTTTCCTAGTTTCTCATCTTTTTAGAGATCACTTTATAAAGGCAACATAGTTCTGCTTTACACGTACAGAGACTGGACGCCCGGGGTTTTAATATCAATGGGCAGTCGTTGGTGGCTGCAGACTGCCTCTCTTGTGTGCATTTTCCTTAGTCACCTTTACAAGATCCAGAGGAAGTAGATGCTATCCTTAGTTTACTTTACAAAGAGGAAAGTGAGTTTCGAAATATTTTATTGAGAGAGATGAAAATAGAAGGGGAAAGTGAGGAGAGCCTGTTCCCATGACAGTTCAGCCAAAGACAGGTGGAGTAGCCTCTTCCTGTCCTGTCTGGAATAATGAGAGGCCAGATTGCAGTCCGGACACACACGGTGACTGGAGGCCCACAGGTCAGAGCTGGTGACCGGGGAGCTGGCTGCAGCAGACGGTGGGCAGCTGTCCAAGCAAACGCTGTTACTTCTGGTTTTCTTCAAAGTTCAGATCCTGAGTGTACAAGCAGCTCCAGGAGTTTTGGCAAGACCTGTAGCATCAGGAAGATTCTCTAGTGACCCTAGAACCCAATCGTGGCAAGAGGTGTTCAGAAAAAGTCATGAAGGAGATGGGAGAAGGATGGAGCAGGACCCCGGTGGCAGGGAAAAGGAGTGTCAACCATGCCAGGAGTCAGAACACCGGGAGAAAAGCTGGGCTGACACCTACTTCCTGGAACATGTGTAGAAGGCCAACCCTTGGCTAGTGGGCGGGAAGAGGCAGAGTCTGCCTGGGGAAACCAGCTCCAAGATCAGTGGAGCTGGCAGCAGGCTGCTGGGTGCTGTGTCCGTCAGCTGTTGGACGTCTCGTGTGCCCAGCCCAGGGACAAGGCTTGTTCCAAAAACTGGAGCAAGTCTAGACCTCCAGCTGGGGGCTGCGTGGCCATAGCTGTGAAGATTAGAGTCTGAAGAGACAGGGAGCCAAGGAGTTCATTATACTTCCTGGGCAAGAATGAAAAGTGGTTAGTATTTAAATAAAATGCATTTAAAATACCCCGTGCTAGCAGTAAAGGCTGGTGCAGAAACGACAACCGCATTGATTTCTCATTTACAGAAATAGTTTTGTATGTTCCCATGTTATGTTTAGTCATAGACGCAAGGGGCAGACTGTAAACAGCTGAAGGGTCCAAGAACAAAGCAATAAATGAAATTAAACAGGCAGGGAATGAACGAGGCTGTAAAGTAAGAGAGAAAGCGGCGGAGAAGGGCTCTGACACGGCCCTGGGCACATCCTCTGCGTGTCTGTCAGGCTTTCAGACAGCGCTGACATGGAATGGAATCGTGGCCAGGTCCACTCCCAAGCATGAGTACTGCGTAGCGTACGTAACAGCAAAAAGCACAACCTGCTGCTTTGCTTTTTATTTGGCATCAGCTGACTTGCAATTTCAATGCGTACAAATCTCCCCAACGCCGCGTTATGATGTAATAACAAGACACAAATGCTGATGCAAAAGGATGTTATTGTGTCTCAAATACAACACAGGATGGGAAATTAATTCCTGACCTTTCTTTAACCCCGGCCCACAAAATTAATATTTCAAATTTTGCTACAAAGAAGGGCTGAGTATATTTATTCAAAAATTTAGAAAAAGTTATCTCCAAAATGAAGATAGGTACTTGTTAGAAAATCAAAGCTAGTACGTGATTAGTTCATCATGTTTCCCTAGAATGGGTTTTTGACCAAAGCAAGTCACACTGCAGGAAAGTAAACAAAATAAAAGCGAGCAAGTGAGCCCACGTGAAAGAGAAGAGGGGGAGGGAGGGAGGGAGGGAAGGAGGGAGAGAGAGAGAAAAAGAGAGAGAAAGTGTTAGTTAAATAAGAAAAAATAATAATTAGAAGGTGGTATTAGGGACCGGAGAGATAGCTCAGAGTCATGAGCACCTACCTGTCAAGCACAAGGACCTGAGTTTGATCCCTGGCCCCACATACTGTACAGTCTTGGTCCCTGACCCCCGGGCACCCACTGTGCAGCCCCAGAACCAGGCATGGTGACACTCGCCTGTAACCCCAGCACTCAGGAGGTTGAGCCAGGAGGATCTCTGAGTTTGAGACCAGCCCAGGGATATAAGAGTGAGTACAAGGTCAGCCCAAGCTGTATAATGAGACCCCATCTCAAAAAAAAAAAAAAAAAGTGATATTAATAAGCCATGATACAGGGCCAGTGAGATAGCCCAGTGGACTAAGCGCTTGCTTAGGCAAGTGCAATAGGAGATAGTTTCTAATCCAAGATGTGTTTCATATTCATTGACTTCACTGGGAGGTTTTCCATTGCCCTTTCGTCCTATGGAAACACCAAGGTTGCAAAAAGAAAAATCAGAAAATGGTCACGTTTTCTTAATAAGGAAGACTGATACTTGTTACAAAAGAACCTTCAGTGAAGGATATTTGCCAAATGCAGGGAAAGATTAAACTTCCCAAAGAGGGAGTTAAAGTTCTTCAAGATAAGTAATCCATAGCCCACTGTTGCAACAGAGGCATCCTTTACTTAAAATGAAGTTCAGAGACAATTGAAACACCTATGTAAGGGCTTGTGCCTGCCTGTTTAGAGGGAGGAGGTCAGGGAAGGAGAAAAGAGGGACTTAGACGTTTGCTCCTCTTTTTATCTAGGCTGAAAAGAGTCAAACCTGATACATTTACACATCAAAGAGAGTCAGATACACTCTGCCAAATATTTATAAAGAAAGAGAAAGGCTTACAAATAAGACAAACATAATAAACTCGACTCATTGCACAGTGGTAAAACCCAGCTGAGAGCACTGGGAATAGCAACTTGCAATTTCAACCAATATTTCTGATGCTTGGTTTGTTTCAGAAATTGCTGTAAATTCCTTTAAGTATCTTACCTGATAAATTATCTCAGTCAGTCTAAAGTAGGTCAGTAGTAGCTTTGCACTGGGAAAGATTCCTTGGAAGTAATTAGGCCGAACCTTTCTGTTGATCCTGTCAGAAGTAGCTCAGAGCCCTGGATTGATACTCGGCTCATGTGTCGCTGGGGGATATAGGAACCATGCGACAGAGCAGTGGTAGTGAACCTGTGGCACTTGGGCTGCAGCCAGCTGTTTGCTATCAGTGAAAGCTCTAAAAGATTCACCATCCCTGGGATGGTGGCAGCTGGGCGCTGGGTCCTCATCACAGGGTGGGTGGTGTGAATATGGCTGTGTGCCTAATGCTTCCAGGGTATCAACATTGACCGAAGGAGGGAGCACAGGGCTAAGAGCAGGTGCAGCTGGAAGACAAATGGCATAAAGGGACAACTTACGTCACAATGTGTATCTGCCTGAGGTGTGTGCTATACTGCTCTTTATTCCCATTTTACCTCTGCTACTGTTGCATTCTCTCTCTCTCTTTTTTTTTTTTTCTTCTTG